AAGCCGTTAGAACGAAGCTTAGACAAATCCGTGTACTACGCATCATTCTCATGCTGTTCATCGTAAAAAAAAAGTGCAGTATTTACCCTTTCGAAGTACAATCTCATGCTGGCTAATTTGTCATGCATTGCAGCTCCCATAAACACTAGCGCCAGAGTTCCCTCTAGTAAATACTGTTGGAAACTATGACTCTCACGACGCTTCCACAACGCGTTGCTCTCACATGAGCGAAATGTAGAGGAAGGCTTGCTCCATCATTGGCTGTGCGCCAAAAACCTAACTGCTGACATCATGTTACAATGCCACAATGGCCACAGTCACAACAAAGGGTTATGCTTCTTCGCTGCTGAGAAGGGTGGGAATGCTGAGCGAAAAACCAGCAGCAGCTGGTTGTTCTATACCCTGTAACTTCCTTATTAGTACAACACTTGTCAGTAATAGTTTGGGGCAGTTTGTTTACATTATACACATGGGCAGTTACCTCTCCTGAAATCTACACCAAGAAGTTGTTTACTGGCTGTTTAAGAAATTTTAACAATTACAGATTTCTCTCTCTGAAATACAATATAACAGCACAAATGTTTGATGCCTTTAAAGATACCTTACACCTTACTCCTTAAAATTTAGTCAAGCCTCCACATCTTCCCACAAAAAAGTCTTGCACCACAGACCTTTAGGGTTTTTCTTTTCTGTCATGACAGGACATGTGTTTCATGAGGTGGCCGTGCAGCGTAAAGGACGCATTGCAGTGGACACAGGAAAAAGGACGCTTTTTTGTGTGGGTGCGCATGTGGTACATGAGGGTGGCTCGCTGCGAAAAGGACGCACTACAGTGGACACAAGAAAAGGGCCGCTCTCCCGTGTGGGTGCGCATGTGTGCCACTAGTGTGGCACTCTGAGTGAATGCAGACTGACACAAGCGGCACTGAAAGGGGCGTTCACCCGTGTGTATGCGGAAGTGCCTTCTCATGTTTGGCTTGTGCGAGGTCACATAGGTGCACTGCGGGCAGTAATGCAGCCGACCTTGCGCAGACTGAACGCTGCTTCTCGGGGGTGAATGGTAATTCCCTGGGGGCTCCGAAGAGAAGGAACCTGCATGGTCGCAGGGAGAATGGAAGGCAGAGTAAGCCATTTGCCACACACTGCATGGAACTGCAGCGCAGCACCAAGCAACAAAGAACAGTAGCTATGCCCATAAGTGTATTACATAATTTTCTTGGCCTACCAAGGCCTTGTTACTAAAGTGGTAACAGTGCACGGTCAAAGTAAACTTTTGACATAAATCCTCATCTTCTGGTACAAAAGTCCTATGCTTAATACATGCAAGTATCTAATGCCTAGTGATAGAATCTGATTTGGAAGCAATTATGGCATCATTTATATAGGGAAATTGCTTTCCATATATGTACCAATGAATTAAGCGATAACTCATTGAAGCAATTATTACACCTTCTTTTTTTTGCAAAGCCACATTCATAGCGCTGTACAACAATCGCAGAACTTGATATTTGAAGATACCAAATGTATAAAATAAAACAGAGAAGAAAGTTAACATAAAACTAACTTGGGGATACAAAACGAAGAAAATCTACATTGCATTCACAGTATGCAACCTCATTTTTATGCACCACACAAAGAAAACTTTCTCTTGAGAGTAGCATGCATCACTGAAATATTCAAAAAAAGAAAACATTCACTTGATAATGTTCCACATTCACAAGCATTCACGAGAATATATTTCACGCTATAGCTCATATTATGAATGAATATGACTGCAATGCATTGAAGCCAAACTCTGAAAACTCTGAAATGCTTAAGGGGGACATGGTACCCAAGAACTTTTTTTTTATTTTTTGATCAATATTGTTCAAGAAATATTTTTATTTCTTGATCTAAGCCATCTGAACGAGCTATGTTGAGTAACGATGTCACACAAACTGTGGGAAGCAAATGGTTTGTTACCACCTACCATCGCTATTAAACAAATTGTAGAAAACAAATGGCGTCGATACTGAAAAGTTATCTATGAAAGAGCTCCGCGATATATGTGTATAGTAATTATAAAGTCGGAACGTTGTTCATATTAACAGAACCCTTCTTTGTATACATCCTTTCAAGGTTTGCGATGATGGAGAAGGAAATGTTGTAGGCCTGTGTGCCCAGATTTGGTTGCACATTAAAGAACCCCAGGTGGTTCAAATTTCCGGAGTCCTTCACTACGGCGTCTCTCATAATTATATGGTGGTTTTGGGACGTTAAACCCCACATATCAATCAAATCAAGGTTTGCGATGGGTTACTGCATTTTGTTGTTGTTCTTTGAACACTGTTTTTTTTTACCTATCCAGAACTATTTGACTCTTGTAGTTTTTTTTTCTTCTTTGTTATACTAATGTTCTACAGTTTCTGCTAATATGTATGAAAAACGCTTGGGTACCTTGCAATGTGTTCCATGTTATTGTTATTTGTTCTACACACTGACTGTTGCTGTCCCATCCAGGAAGGGCTCTCACCTCATCAAGCCACTCATTATAGTACGTTTTTGAGACATCTCCTACCTTTTTTTTCTTTGAGAGATGAATAAACTTGGATTTGAATGCACTCACAAACTTAAAAGGCATAAATACATTGCTGGCAACAAACTACTCATATTATGATTGCATTTGAAAATTTCTTGAAAGTACTTTAGAATACAGTTCAATAATACTGCGGTGCATCTTCAACAAATATCTTAACGATGGATGCTTACCTACTGATAGGAAAACAGGCAAAGTAATTCCGCTTCACAAATCAGGAGATATGCAAAACCCATGTAACTAACGGCCAATTTCACTCACATCTGTGCCATGCAAAATTCTTGAACATATCAATTTTACGCACCTGTTTAACTTTCTTGAATCGAATAATTTTTTCCATCTATTTCAGCATGGATTTTGAAAACATTATTCATGCAAAACGCAGCTTCTGACCTTCACTAACGATTTTCACTTATTTCTCGACTCCGGATTCGAAACCGACTGTTTGTTTTTAGACTTTGCTAAAGCTTTCGACAAGGTTAACCATCAACTTTTAATACTGAAACTTAGTCGGCTAAACATCCATGCTTCAAGTCTTGAGGTGGATTATTGCGTTTCTAACTAACCGAAGTCAGTATGTGTTCACTAATGAAACAAACTCGCCTTCAACTCCCGTCAGTTCTGGTGTGCCTCAAGGTTCTGTTTTAGCACCATTGCTCTTCCGAATCTACATCAGTGACCTTCCTAGTAATATATCCAGTTCTACCTGTCTTTCCGCAGATGATTGTGTTGTGTACCACAAACAAACTACTAACTCAGATATTGCTGCTCTACAGACTGATCTCTATAATATCACTTCTTGGTGTGCGCTCTGGCATATGAATCTGAACACTTCTAAATGTAAATGAATGAGAATTTCGTGCAACGAATCGTCCTGTCCAAACTATTTCCTTAACAATGTTCCCCTTGACTTCGTAGTTTCATACAAATACCTTGGTATATATACTTCTAATAATCTTTCCTGGAAGCAGCATATCAAGTACATAGTTTCAAAATCGAACCGTATGCTTGGTCATCTAAAATGGAACTTCCACCTTGCTCCGCCTTCACTCAAAAAACAATTGTAGTTCTCTTACGTTCGATCTAACCTAGAATATGCATCTTCTGTTTGGGACCCCAGTTTCGTAACCCTAATAAATAGTTTAGAAAGTGTTCAAAACTGCTCAGTTCGCTTTATTCTTTCCTACTACCGCCACGCAGCAAGCGTTACTAACATGAAGGCCACACTTAACATTCCCTCTCTTGCCTCTCGCAGAAAGCTTTCTCGACTATGCCTCTTTCATAAGATATATCACAATCATCTGCTTCGATCCCATTTCATCACATCCCCTCCCTATACTTCTGCTCGTGTTGACCACCATCATAAAGTTCGCATTCCATTTCAGCGTACCACAACATACAGTAACTCATTTGTTCCGAAGACGTGCGCCAATTGGAATCACCTGCCTGCCTCATTGGTGACTATCGCAGACACTCGTCTTTTTCGCGGTGCACTTACAAACCTTACCTAGAACATACACCCCTACGCCTTACCTGCTTATCTTTTTTCCTTTATGCTGGTGATATGAAGGTACGTGTGCTAAAGTGAACTCTGAATTATTCCACTGCGATCTACTTTTGAGTTCTTGCCTATGTTCACTTTATATTCGTATTTTTTATTCGTGTTGCTTCTTAGCAGTGTGGTTTTCAGTTGTTTTCGCCTTATACTTGGTATTGTTGTTAGCAGTGTGTTTTTCAGTTTTTGATCACATTCACCTTATACTTGTTATTGTACCGTAACATGCGTGTCTTGGCTCATGCCTTTTTGCTGATGGTTTACTTCTTTGAGTTCCCCATTTTTTTATGTGCCTTATAATCTACTATTGATGTAGCCCCTCCCCTCTGTAACGCTTCTTGTAAGCCCTGAGGGTAATAAATAAATAAATAAACAAATAAATCAAGTTCACTGAAAAATAGAAGCAGAAAAAAAGAAACATGATTGAAATGGACGTGATACACATACTAAAGATAAAACAATTGATAAAACTAAAATATACACTTTTTTTGATGCAAGACAGTGCAATTGTAATGAAATATGTTTAGTGAACAATCGTTCCTCGCTAGGTAGCACTGTAAGAAGATACATTGACCCTTTATTGCCGAATGTCGCAAATTCATGACATGCCGAAAGACTTTTAGCAAGCAAGTCACGAAATGCGTAATGCAGCTTTCAGCGTAAAAAGTCTGGCGCAGTCTTGTGTAAGGTACACAATGCTAGAACCAATTGTTTTGTAGCTGATGGCAGAGAGCGTAAAGCATGTGCAAGAGTTCTCACTACTTTGTTCTTCTGTCCTCGCTTTTGTGGCATATCGAGAATTCGCAAAACACCTACAAGTATGCATTTTAGTTGAATTTTAGAGAATTTAACTGAGGAATCAATCAATGGTTGATACTTGGAGCTTTTTATTTTTATTTTTTCAATATTTATTTCATTCGGCAGTTTCATACTTCAGGCATTAAAGGGTTGTCGATGGTAATTTCAAGATGTTGGTCATCTGAAAGCACACCATAAACAGTGCGTTTACAGAACTAAGTGTACTATAATGCATAAGCTTTTTGCTGTAAATTCAGTTCAATATCATTGCTAACATACTACAGTGTGAAAGCACCCGTTCAAAGTGTTCTGATAACTAATCTGCACAATTATTTTTCTAAAATACACTAGCATGAACACATGCACCTTGAAACAGACCTGTAAAGGCTATGCATTACCAGCTAATAGGCTTGAGCCAATGCTTTCTAAAGGCAGGCCCAATGCTTTAGCGCTGATGACCTAAACTTCAACACTGATGACGTCCACTTTTTTCTTCACCATTTTAACAGACTGACTGGGTCAACATCCAATATGTTGTTTCGCTTCTCTCAATGTAAGCAATAAGAGGCAGCAGTCAGCAAACATAGTCATACCACTGTAAAATTTGTCTCTTCATAACAAAGTTTGCAACAAGTTTATAAAGGGGCAGAAGGTGGATATTGCATTTCACACTTCTCTATATAACCAATTTGAGACTGCACTCCGTAAATGTACTCATACACATGTTATGACCCTAGTTAAGCCCACAGTGCATTAGGTTACTTTATAACAGTGTAAACAGAGCAATGGTTTCGAGGAGGCTCAAGCTGGTGCCATGCTTTTCCGGCAATGCCTGAAACATGCAACTTCTTGATTTTTCTGCAGGAGAAATTGGTACACCTGCAATGACAGAGAGATTGCTGTTAGTGCCAGCACAATTACTCACAGTGTACCCACACATACTGTTACCGTTGACATCAGTGACACTACCAGAAAAAGAAAAAAGCCAGGCAACTGCATAGATGAGGGGCAGCACTATTGTCGCGTCTGCACTGAATCAGCTTGACCTCGCCTGGCGAGCCTCTTTTCAAAACACTTTTGCCAAACCAGGAAGCCGAGTTTGGGGTCACAGCCAAAACAAGGAAGCACAAATTAATCGGCAGGAGCCACATCATGCTTAGGAATATAGATATGTTGCGTGATCTGAAACAACAGTATGCACAGTCCTTTATGCTTCTGCTTAGCCATTTATGTACTGCAGTTGCAAAAGAGAGAGCGACATCATGAGCTTTGATAAAACGTTTAATTTATTTTCAAGTCAGTTTCTATGACCCAGTTATGTTTTTAGGAAATTCCGTGAGGATTCCTTTACTTTTCCAGACATGCCCCAATTCCCTGACAATTATTGAAGTTTCTAGATGGCCTGCATGTTCTCTTCTGTAGTAATGGGTTTCTTGGAAAGCCACCATGACCAGTTTCCAGGTCAGTCTATGTAAGCTTCTCCTGGGGACTAGCGACACCAGATGTAATAATATCTGGGGTTGTAAGTCCCAAAACCACGATATGGTTATAAAGCATGCTTTGGCCGCAAATAACACACACACAAAGTAAAGGAACACTCAACGACAAGCACAAGTGGCACTTTCAACTAAAGTAGACTGGGCGCAAATTCAGACTTAAGTAACAACATACAGACATGCGCAGTCTTCACACAGCCTTACGCTATCCAGCTATCAAACAATCTCTTCTTTGATATGTACAACGTCACCGACAGTTTGCTGATACACCTTTAATCTTTCTTTTTAATGTAATAGGCTTCCATCAACTCATGCACAGTTTTATGCCTACTTGTACCTAGAATCTTAAACTCGTTAAAACGTGGTACACACTCGCAGGATTTACAGTGCATAGGCAAATGCGCCAAGCCATCTTTCATTAAATTTAATTCATGCGGGTGTGTTCCTTGGACAGGTACTCGGTTGTATCCACGCCTGAGGTAGTGGCGAGCCTCTGTAACCTAGCATCTGGGGGCGAGGTACCTCGGAAAACAAAAAGAATGAAGATAACACGAAGGGACACTGGTCCACTCTGCCATGGTGTGTTCCCAAGGAAGGCTAAGACCATAGTTTGCGATGCGAACAGAACAGTGCCAGAATGGCTGGGAGAATTCTAAGCTCCTGTAATCTGACGACTCAGAAGCGCTGGCATTAGGAACGCATTCCTTGAGACAGGACCAGACAGACTAGGCAGCTTTGGCAGGAGGTGCTTGCGTCCCTCTGTAATCCAGTGTATGTGGATGCCGCGGCTAAGGAGCCGGTCCTTGCACGCCAGGCAGAGAAGTTTCTGGTCCATTTCATGATCCGGGTGCCTGGACGGTATGGGTGGTGGCGTGCGCACGTAATCCAGTCTAATTGAAGCCGCGACCTCGCATCATGTTCTCCCCACCTCCAAGAGCTCCGCCATGGGCAACGTGTGAGTGGAGTCAGATGCTCACGCGGCTAAGAGGGAGGGAACAGCGGGTAGTCCACGCGCCTCCACGATTCTTGTGTAGAGGTTCCCGCTGGCGTGGCGTTGCTACCCAGACGGTGGCACACTAGGTTCGCTTGTCTTTGTTGGCGTCAGTGCGCAGTGCGCCGCGCAGGGCTTGCGACCCAAACAGGCTTGGCTATTTTGATAATGGAACATTCATAAGAAAGCCGCTGGCTGGCGCGGCGCACGCATCAGAGCAGAACTGCTGTGCAAGGTGAGCCGTCAGGGATGCGGCAAGAAACATGGCATGATGTACGAGAAATGTGCCGAAGGCGTTGTTTATGAGATTTTTTTTTCTTGTGGCAACTCGTACATCGGGACTACCGGGCGCTGTATTATTAAACGGGTTAGGGAGTATGAATTAAATTTAATGAAAGATGGCTTGGCGCATTTGCCTATGCATTGTAAAGCCTGCGGGTGTGAACTAAGTTTTAATGAGTTTAAGATTCTAAGTAGAAATCGGCATAAAACTGCGCGTGAGTTGATGGAAGCCTGTTTCATTAAAAAGAAAAGTGAAAGTTGTATCAGCGAACCATCGGTGACGTTGCACTTATCAGAGAAGAGATTGTTCGATAGCTGGATAGCGTAAGGCTGTGTGAAGACTGCACATGTCTGTATGTTGTTACTTAAGTCTGGATTTGCGCCCGGTCTACTTTAGTTTGAAGTGCCGCTTGTGCTTGTCGTTGAGTGTTCCTTCACTTTGTGTGTGTGTTATTTGCGGCCAAAGCATGTCATTAAGCAAGTACTAACTAGGCCAACCATCAGTATTGTTATGATTATGAGAGACGCCATAGAGAGGCGCCATAGAGCTCCGGAAATTTTGACCATCTGGTGTTCTTTAACGTGCACTGACATCACACAGGCCTCTACAATTTCACCTCCTCCGAAATATGACCGCTGAAGCTGGGTTTGAACCACCGACCTTCAAATCAGAAACAGAGCTCCATAGCCATTGATCCATAGTGGTGGACAACACCAGACGTTTCTGGATGCAATGTTAATACCTTGATCATGCAGAAAGTATTGTGACCAGTTGCTACACAGGCAATAATATTGCTAAAAAGTTTAATGATCTCAGTAGTATTAGCGTTAACGTAGAAAAACACAACCTCACCCATAAGTTATACACAACATTTAGCCTTTTTTATTCATGTAACCAACTTCTACATTCTTGTGATACATGTATAGGTGCATATTCTCTTCTATCTTGTGAACGTTTGCATAATAGCTATCATATCCTGTTTACATTTGGATTGTGTAATCATTCCGACTACTGCTATTGCGCTAATTCACAATTTAATATTTCATGCTTTTCATTTCTTGTTCATGTGACACTACTCCTGATGCATTTCGTTGCCACTGGGAGCTAGCCAAGCAGCTTTAGTGCAGCTTTTACATCTGTCATTCTTCACATGAGAAAAAACAGTACAATTGAATATATATTTTTTTCGCGAACAATGTGTTTCCTTGCTTTACTTTAATTGTAATGACGGTCTTGTTTGTGTTCAATCTCGTCTTCAATACAAGAGTATTAAAAAAATCAGTGGTATCTGCAAGCATACCAGGCTCCAGCATAAGCATGACACAGCACTTTTTCTTTTCAACTTGCTCATCAAATATAAGGGCTAAGCTCCATATCACACGATATTCTGCCAGTACATCACAGATTGTTAAGAGCACACTTTGTAATTTGTCTGACTAATGTATCTTTGCCACCACATAGCTAGCAGCTCGCATTTTTTTCGATGCCACAGTCGGTGCAAGCACTAAGACGACAACCAGATTGGTCCCACGTGCGATGCTCCGAATGCTATCATTACTTCATTTCTATTTTAACTCAAGGCAAAATCGTTACACTTTGCCTTGGGGGACACGACTACAGGCTAAAAAACGCCTGACTAGGTCGTGCCGCCCTGGCAGCAAGAGCATAGACACACCAAGAAAGATTTGTTGTACAGAATACTATGGTACATAATCATCCAAAATGATTACAGGATTAAAGAAAATTATAAGTTCACATATATAAAAGCAGCTGTCTTAAAGTGACATTGATATAGCGAACGTGTGCTCATATTGAACCACAAACAAAATAAAAAAATAAAAATAGTCTCTCACCGCTGTTGTGAGAGAAATGCGCAAAAATATAATCAACATTCACTAGAAAACAAAATCTATATGCCTGAGCACGCTTGTGTACAAAAGGAGAAACCTACGAACCTACCGATCAGAAATTTTTAACAGAAAAAGGTTATCTATAACTCAAACATGTCGTTACAAAATATAATAAATAAATCACAGGTCATTAGAACAAAGGTGTACACGAATAGAAGACAATATAAAGTCACAAAATTTTAAGGATCAATAGAGTCATCATTTTTGTCTGTTAGGAGTTCTTTTGTTGTTTTTTTGAATGAAATAACTGATGTTCCATCTTGCAATAAATGAGGTATAGTTGGGTATTGATTTAGGATGTCTGGTATACGTGAGCTTAACCGTTGGTCACCATAGTTTGTGCGTGATCTAGGTTTGTATATTAAGCTCTTATGTAATTCATATGGTGTTTGTTTGACGTAACATGTATCCAAGAATAGAGATGTATACTGTCGTTGTATCTCTAAGCATAGCTTGTGTCTGTATAACTTATTTATAGGCAGTATTCTGTGGCTTTTGAAATGTGGTCGAGTACTTTCGTGGAGTGGAGTGTTAGATTTTGCACGTATTGCACGCTTTTGTAGCACTAAAACCTACAAAAGCTTTTCAGCTGAGAACTCTGTGTGGCATTACACTGCAACCTGTAGTGATTTAGTGCCTTATGATAGACAGCTTACATTGCACAGGGCTTTTGATCTTTTGATCTGAGTGCCCCACATGATCGACTCAATGTGGTTGCAAAAAATTGTCACAGCTCTTTAACCTTCAGCTTTTTAGACAGAGTTGTATCATACTAAGAAAAGAAACGGCACACCTGCAAAGGTGCATAGACGTTATCATGCTAAACAATTAGTTCACATGGTATCTTCCCTGTGTCACTACAAGGAAGGTGTCCAGACTGTACAGTCACTGTTGGAGATACAAATGTTGAATGCAAAACGAAAAAGCACACTGGAGCCTTGTATAAAAGCAGCTGTCACAAGTATGATAATTACCAAGGAAATGAAACATTGACTGAACCATTGTAAGGGTGACGAATCAGTGCTGATGCAGGCCTTTTTTTTTTCTCTCGCTTATCACGGTTTATGAATATCATCCACAGAATGCAGTGAAACTTCGTTCTTAGGCTGGCGTCATCTTCTGCAAGAATGGCAATTTAAATTTTCTGGCACAGCATAACTCCAGGCATTAACGGGACAATACTTTGACTTGGGGGAGTTGGTACATACTTAGCGAAGTAGACACAGCAACACAAATGAACGAGGGTTTATTTGATGCTGAAGATATCGCTTTATCGGCAGACAGTTGAGATGATATACGGCAGCTGGTGGACATATGCGGAAGGGAAGGTGAAGCTACAGGACTAAGATTTAGTGTAATAAAATGTGGATTGATGGTATTCAACAAATTCAATATCAGGCAAAGTAAATACAGGGCCAAGAAATACAGAGGGTAAGCGAATATCAGTACCTCGGAGTATGGATAAATGAGGGTGATAGATACGTGGATGTACAGGAGAAAAGTCTCGGCAGGAAAGAGAATAAGGAGTGCTGCAATAACAAAGCACAGAGCATCGTGGGGATAGAATAGTACGAGGCTCTTTGAGGAAAAGGTGTAATTGTTCTGGGTCTTACTTTTGGGAACCTCAGCATGAAATCAGAGGTGCAATTAGGAATGAATGTGAATCAAAGGACTGTGGGACGCCTGCGTTGGGTAGTCACCGGAAGACGACAAATGAGGCTGTAGAGGGCTATATGGGATGAACAAGTTTTGAGTTGAGGGAAGCTCAGAGCAGAATGAGGTTCAAAAAGAGGCTATGGAATATAAAAGAGGGTAGATGGGTTAGTGGCATTGCCAGGGGTTGGCACACCAGGCTCGTGCCCACCCGCTTGCCTAAAATTTTTTTCGCCATGATATACAAAGCACAAAATTAGACTTGATCACATGTGCATGATGGCCAGCCACCACTTCACAACAAGGTAGTGCCCCCCCTACTCCACCCCCCACCCCCCCCTCCTAAATTTCTGCCTACGCCTCTATGATGGGCGTAGAAGCTGTTCCAATTTTGGCATAGGAAGAGTACTGACATGCACTGGAGAAAAGGAACCAAGAGGCTCACCAGTAAACGTACGGCTGGCAGTGCAAGCGATAGGGCGACAAAGAGGGCTAACTGAAAGGTCATATAAGTGGAGAGAATTTGCTTGATGCAAGCAATGGAAAAAAAAAAAGAAACGGTTCTAAGTAACTACCAAATGAACAAAAATGAAATAAGAAGGGAGGCATTATATGATAATTCAATGGGAATGGCCTTACTGTTTGAGGTGACGCTGGGAAGCCTTAGAACACGTAGTTTTAGTGAGATCCAGTAAAGAAGAACAATGCACGTGCTGTTTTCCTGTGGAGCAGATAAGGAAACAGAAGAACCTGTGTTAAGTGAATGTGGAGAGATCAACCTAATGCATGTTTGCGTACTCCTGTGACGTTCCCGCAAACTTGGACTGGACCCCGAATCTTGCAATATGTTTACGTCCATTTATTCAACCCACGTCTCGGCAAAAAGAAAAACTCTTGGGGTAACGAATGCGCATTTTAAAGTGGAGTTCCTGGAAGAATTCCGTCGGTGGTTCTCGCGGGCCCATCGCACAAACACCAGCACTGGGTGGCAACTTCTTGACTACGGACACTACAGTGGCGAAGCACCATGCGCGCCCTTCAGATTTATGGCATGGGGAGGGCAGCAGAGCGCCTTTTGTTGGTTCTGTTCATGTGACCCTTCTGTAGCGCCTGTGCCGGGACAGGCGGGACATTCCGTCAGCCTCCGCGGCTCCCAGGCGCATTACTGCGTTCTCCCCGGATGACCACCTGCAGCGTTCAAGGACGAAGAGGCAACGACTGTGGAGAATTGTACGAAGACACCGGGTTGGAGGTTTCGGAACTCGAGCTGGACATTGGGTCGTCGGGCACCGGAAACTGTGCCGTTTGGGGCGACCAGGGACCTTTAAGCGCAGCACTCTAAAATTCGCGTGTCAGCCGTTAGAGACGTCGTGCTTTGTCTGAGCGTTGGGACTCCTGGTCACCCATAATTCACGTGTCATCAGACAGCTCACCCGTATCTCTCTCTAAATTTCGAGTTTGTACATTTTTACTTGCTCTACTTTGCTTGGGAGAGGGCTTTCCACTGGCATGGGCTGCGGGGGCAGTTGTCGAAGCTGACACACACCCACAGGCAGGGAAATATGTCGCATAAGCAGTGGTAATTCGTTAGGTGCCATGAAGGGGCGAAGCCGGGTCCTACGAAAAAGGACAGGAGAACCAGGATAGAGAGAAGGAGCAATAAGATCGAGACGGAATGAAAAAGGAAGATAACGGTGTGAAAAGATAGCGAGGAGAGTCGATGAGATGATGACGGAAGCAGTGACGGTTAGATGAGGAAGGAAAATTAGGGATGAGAGAGGAAGAGGCGAGCAATTGGGACGTCATGAAAGAGGACTAAGATGGAAATGACTGGGAGAAATGACAAAGGCGACGATGATGAAGACACCGAAGACCTTAATGAATTGGACAGTGACGCCAGGAGGAAGCCCCGAGCCCCAACTCGAACAGCCAGCTCCGAGGCTCCCGACAACATGGACCTCTCGTGAGACTGACTTTATGTACCTTATTTAGATGAGCTTTGCGGTAAAGGAGGCGGCGCGTTGAGACATTGCACAGTTTTATTAACTGATAACTTCATCAAGTGTGTGTCGCCGTACGTTTCCTTTGTATTGTGGCACCATTGTATTGTTGCAGGTATTTTCATTATGTACCCTGTGTCGCACGTCGCGAGTGTCTAAATCAAGTGCTAAAATTTTCTGTAACAGTTGCTGTACATGCGCAGCATGTGTGTACGCTGTTTGCAATCAGTAATAAATGAAATGTATCAGTAATTAGGAACAGGTTGTTGCGTCTCTTACTTCCCGGCCCCAGCATGAGTCCCTGTGTTTGTAGAAAGTGGTTAAGACACATAGACAAGTGAGAGCCGAAGAAAGGGGTAGAGTGGCCTTCCCTGTTTTTGGTGGTCGATAGCGGGGGACATCTCACTCCTCCATTGTCTTAAGGGACAACATTGGACATACAATGCAAAAAAGTATGAGAAGGTTGGAGGATTGGTGGAAGAAAAATAAGGAGGAAGGACAGAAATAAACAAATTTTTTTTGTTTCCAGCTTGGCAGCAGACAGGTGAAAAGTGACAGCTTCTATCCATGGGTTAATCCAAATCGTTCGATTACCAATTGGTGCTACCATGCTGATATTTGAGACGTTCTAAAGAATGAACCTAATTGATTGATTTGTGGGGTTTATCGTCCCAAAACCACCATATGATTATGAGAGACGCCGTAGTGGAGGACTCCGGAAATTTTGACCACCTGGGGTTCTTTAACGTGCACCCAAATCTGAGCACACGGGCCTACGACATTTCCGCCTCCATCGGAAATGCAGCCGCCGCAGCCGGGATTTGAACCCGCGACCTGCGGGTCAGCAGCCGAGTACCTTAGCCACTAGACCACCGCGGCGGGGCCTAAAGAATGAACCTAAAACATAGATCTATTACCTTCGTGACTGTAGTGCTACACTAAGAAAAGAACGAGGAAGCCATTTAAGGAGTGCTGTTAACTGGAGTGCTATTGGGTGCGCCTCAAGAACAGGACACGGTGGTCGATGAACACAAAAAACCTTCATTTCGCTCTCATTTGTACGTCACTCTGTCCTTGTTTTCCAAGCACGTCCAAAATTACAGACACGTACGGTGCTACCAGGAAGCACACAAAACACAAACTTGCTCGAGAAATGAAGTGATCGAAAGCAGCTGTGCGACGTTATTGGTTGGTTCTGCAACACGATTAGATACTGGCTGTAGCGTTAAAAATGACGTAAGTTAATAACATCGCTTAATCAGTGTCATAAAAATGCATTCAATAAACGCTTCAGCATTCAATGAGATAGCACATGGACAGTACTTTGCACTAGAATCTATATAATCATGCGTACACCCCGTTCGACACGGAATAGAAGCATGCCACAGCTGTTCCCAGTCATGTAGAAGACACGAAACGGCGGCACGTTACTTGACCGTCGATGCAAAAACATCGCCGTCCATTGTTGGCGTCTCGGTGATGCTGACAAAACAGCGAGAACCGCGAGAGACATGGGCCATTAACGCTGCAAAGGAGCGATTGAACCTTGCTTTACAATTATTTTTGCCAACGCAAAATTGCCGCGTCCCCACTGCCAACAAAACGCAAGCTGAGTTTCGGATTTCCTGTAATATAAGCCGTTGCACGAGCTTATGTTACAATAACAAGTCTACTAGATCACACTGTATCTAATTAATTCTGCGATTCTCGCATTTTTTAATGGTGAGTATATGCAGTAAACTTGAGGACTATAAACATTTTGTGGGAGATTTGTGCTAGGTGTTCTGATTCGTACCCAGTGCAGAGAGGTCACGACCATCGTCATCATCACACTCACCACTGCTCACCACCATTGATGCGTTGTTAATGTTTTAGAAGAATTAACTTGCACGATTGCAACACTCATTTCTGTGGTGACTGTTTTTCTGCGAAGCCCAGCAGTGCTCGTGGCAAAGCCACGCAAGTATTGAGTGTTGTGTGTGGAAACTTCATGATGCCAAAGTCGGTTGGCTTCGCCTCAAGGCAGGGGACATGCTCGCTTCAACGAGTTGTCTGCAAAATGTAAGATCAGAAATCACGCGTCGACACAGCTGAGTCGCCAGCCGACCTAATGACAGTGCCTTCTGATTGAACCAATTCACTTCGGCAAGCTGTGGTCTCTGAGGCGAAATAGAGGACAAATCGGTCGCAGTTAATATGCTCGCGCAGTTCGAAAGGACGTGGCCGTGTGGTTTTAGCGTACACACAGTAGATGCATTAGGTGCACATGCGTACCGCCAGTTCGCATAACAATGATAGCTGATGGTACGTGCCATACTACCTCATTTGCAGGAGAAGGCGCGCTGGTCGCGAGATTTTATTTATTTTCCGAATACTGTTAGCCTTTCGGCTTTTACGGGGATGGGACATACCAAGAATGACAACAAACATCAATACATTCAATCATACAGCAATTTAAACAGGAACACTTGAACTTGGAACATGACATACATTGGAAACACCGGCATTGAGGCTGAAGGAAAAGCAGTGCAGTCGTAGTAAGCATACAAATTGCAATAAATTAACATAGTAGACCATGCTTACAGAAAATTATCTTTGAGCCCTTCCTAAAATTTTTCCAGTGAATCACAATGAACCAGTGGTAATGGCAAAGCATGCCACAGACGAATTGTTTTCGGAAAAAATGAATTTGCATATACATTTACACGCTGTTGTGGCACTTCATATGTGTATTAATCGTTTACACTTCTTAGGTTTCTTCCGCGGCGTGGCGTTAAGTATTTTGTTGTGTTTATGTTTAATTTATTTTTTGACAATAAAAATAAGAACTTCATCGTTACCAATTGCCGTCGTTCGGCTAAAGTGGGCAGTTGAAGAGAGCGTAGCATTTCGGTGTTCAAATGCTGTTCTAGAATTTGCGCTAGTTGTACTTCCATTGTTGATTCAACCCTAAAGACGTCCCGTTTTTCTTTTTTTTTTCGGCTTTATAGCGCTGAAACAATCATTGAAATACTGTACGTCGCGGTCGTGTAGCGGTTGCTCGTCTGCAGACCGAAGGGTGGAGTTTGATTTCCCGGCCGTCGCAGCCCATAGAGTTAATATATAATATAGATTATGTAAACTCCATGATGGCAGCCAGTTCCATTTCAGTGGTGGCTAAATACGAAAGGTTGTACTGTGATGCCACTGCATGTAACAGAACCGCAATTGGCGAAACTTCTGCAGCCCTCCACTTGGGCGTCCTCTCATAATTGTAGCGCAGTTTTGGGACGTAAAACCTGGACAATTAGAATGAAATTACTGCTTAAAATTACATGCAAAGTTTCTAATGTCATGTTGTTTGTAGAGATGCCATAAAAGCCCTTCTAGTGAGAGCATCACTGTCGTAGCTATAGAGCTAATGGTCGTAGCAGCAGCAGTTTCGTTCGCAAGCACGCCCCTTAGTGGACGTCCTTGATTTTACAGGTTGGTTGCTTTTAATTGAGAAGAACGAAGAAAAAAAGTTAAGTTGCTTTAATTCTTAACACTTTCCTAGAATTGGTCAATCTATCAACTGCTGTTGCTACTGTTCGTGCTACCAGCTTTTCTTTTTTTGTTACTACTTGTATGCTCACCTTGTACTCACGAATTTAGCTATTTTCACAATGCCGACAAACTTTGTAAGCGAATAGATGAGCTAGAAGCATTATTCAAGCATCAGTTGAACGAACTAGTAGTTGACCGACTTCATGACGTGGTGGATTGAAAACTGAACTCGGCGGTATGGATGACAGTCTATTCCAACTGAAAATTTCCAATTGGTCAGGGGAAATTTTCTTGACTGGGTAAAGCTCCTGAATGAGGTAGTCGAGTCAACTCGCTCTCAGCAGCCCGAGCTGTCTGCCGCAAACGGCGCTCTGAAAGAGGAAAATGAGGCCCTTCAAACAAAAATCGCTGACCTTGAGCAGTACTCAAGGTTGAATAACTTGGAAATAAAAGGGGTGTCCTCAACACAAAGGGAGGATTGTTCCGCAATCCTAGCTGCCATCGGCGACAAAATCAACAGTAAGGCCTTAGCCAGCGATGTCGACACAGTGCACCCTGTATCTGCAAAGTCTGGTCAAAAGAATGTTATTGTGCGGTTTGGCTCTCGTGAAAAAAACAACAGAATTCATGAAGAAAGTGAGAAGGGCCTGACTGAACAACCGAAGCATAGGGCAATATATACGACAGAACACACAGGCAATATTTGTCAACGAACACCTGTCTCCAGACAATAAGCGTTTGTTCTCTAGAGCGCTAGCCTTAAAAAAAAAGAAAAAGGCTGGCAGCTCATCTGGACAGAAAAATTCCAGGTCACGCTGCGGAAATCTCGCGACAGTCGGGTTTTTCGCATTGCCTTTGATTCTGATTTATGCAATATTGCATAAAGGTTGCATAAACAGTCCAGTAGTCAATCTTTCAGATGTGTGAAATGGCTTCCCATGTATTACCTCACGAACTTGAGACCTATTTTTCTTGCTGTGCCGCTCACTAATCCATTTCAATGCACGCACTCCGCCAAGAAACATGGATTGTATCACAACTTTCTTATCATCGACCAGTCATAAGTTTTCTGATATTTCCATAAGTAAAATGTGGCTCTGTGGATCTCATAATCAATTGTATACCTTCCCTTCATACTCTCCTGAATACTGCCACTGCGATAACAGTAATCACGTTGGTGTAGCTATTTTCGTATCCTTGGAAGTGCATTTTCACAGGCGACTTGACGTGACATTCAACATGGCGAACAGCAAATCTGTTTGGGTTGAGTTTGATAATTCATTTTTTTCACAGGTTGAACAAAAACTGGGTAATTAAGTGCATTTATCGTTCACCTTTATCATGTGGCAGTACATACAGCTCTTGATTTGCTGCATAACTTATCATTTGAATATAAAAATGTCGTTATTGTCATTGATATCAGTATTAACCTTCTAGATACATCCAGCACACTATTTAATGATTAGATTAACTGCCTAAATGGCTTTGGATGTGAAAACCTAGTTACACTTCCAACTCGGTGCCCCGCAAGTAAACAAGGTACACTTATTGACCATGCACTATTGAATATTCTTACTAACCCTGACTGTGGTGTTGTCCAAGCTTCTGTTCTTGATCACTATTTCAATATTTGCACATTTAAATTATACCCCTGGCACTACTGTCACAGGCTTTACCTGACAGAAGGTAAATTCAGCAATGTTAATTGAGTTAATATCCGCTACAGACTGTAACTCAGTCATCACATGTGATAACACTGAAACTGCCTACAATAAAGTCTCAAAGGTAACTTTTAATGCCCTTGCAGATTCGACTGTAATAAAGAATTACAAAAATACATTTTCAACTCCTTGTAACCCATGGCTATCTAACAGTTTGATAAATTGTCTGCAGAAAAGGTAACCTTTTCAGAAAAACAGCCCTTAATATCACACTTCAGGATAGATATAAAAAGCATTCTAATCTTTTAGGAAAACTGCTCAAACAGGCTAAAAAACTGTACTATGAAAATGAAATCAAGTGTGCTGGTAATGAGATAAGAAAACAATGGAAGGTATTAAACTCTGTATTGGGTAGATCCAATAAGAATGCCGAAATAGCAATGATAAAGTCGGAATATCTTCTTTTCCATGATCCTATGAATATTGCAAACTGTTTTATTAACTTCTTTTGTACCGACAGCCAAAGGCTTGATGATCCACTGACAATGTTTTACTTCCGTATGCCTCATAGCTTTTTTCTTCACCCTGCTACACCTGAAGAAATAGTTGCTCTCATATCTAGTTTAAAAGATACAGGGCCTGGTCTAAATAATTTCTGCCCATCTGTCATAAAAATAATAGCAAGTTTAATATCAGAATCATTTTGTCACGTAGTTAACCTAATTTTTACCACAGGATTTTTTCTAAGTTCAATGAAGAAGGTCAAAATAATCCCTGTTTTCAAGAAGGCGGATAATCGTCACATATCTAACAATCGTCCTATAGCTATTCTTTTATTCCTTAGTAAAGTTGTCGAAAAACTAATCGTAACACGCTTGACTTCCTATTAATCCAAATTTCGTATCCTATCCACAAATCAATTCAGATTTAGGGAGGGCTACTCAACTGATTTAGCATTAATATATTAGACAGATAGCATCCGGCAGGCAATTGATTCAGGAAACTTGGTTGGGGCATTATTTATTGATTCATCTAAAGCGTTCGATTCACTTGTTCACAACATACTTTTCGCTAAAGTAGATTCCATTGGTATAACAAGCCCGGCACTCAAATTACTATGAAACTATTTGGAAGACACAGAATATGTTGTATCAATCTCAAGCACCTACTCGCACCTTAAAACAAGTAACATTGAGGTACCGCAAGGATCATTATTAGGTTTTCTCTTATTCTCAATATATATTAATGACCTCTCACAATGCCTAAAATCATCTGACTATTCTTTACGCTGATGAGACATCTATTTTCTGCTCAGTTAATAACATTGATTCATTATTGTATAAATTTAACCACAGCACAGATAACATAGTTACCTGGTGTCGACAGAATAAACTACACATTAATGC